TAATTTATTGGGACACCAACATTTTCAGTGTACTGGAACCTCCATTTACGAACCAAACCGGGGGCTCGTTAATCGAATTAGTGCGTAAAAAAAGCTCGTTATTTGAGATTTACTTCGTAAATAGAGGTTTTTGAAAAAAAAAATTAAAATACCCCACAATATGGGTATTTTTGGAATCGAAGTGACGTATTAGGACTGAAACCTCATATCTGACGCCATTTTGAAATTCAAGATGGCAGCTTTCAGTTAGAGAAAAATAGTAAAATACTGTAAAATAACCCACAATATGGGTATCTTTGCCATTGGGGTTACGTTTTAGAACCAAAAATTCATGTATGATGTCATTTTGAAATCCAAGCCGCTACTTCCGGTTACAGAAAACAGAAAAATACTGTCAAATACACAACAATATTGGTATTTTTGGAATCAGGGTGACGTGTAGGAGCCAGAAATCCATGCCTAACGCCTTTTTGAAATCCAAGATGGTGGCATCAGGTTACAGAAAAACTGGGATATACTGCCAAAAACCCAACAATATAGATATTTTAATAATCGGGGTAACAGGAAACCAATGTCTGATATCAGGTTTAAATCCAAGATGGTGGCTTTCAGTTAGAGAAAAACATACCAATACTGTCAAATATCCCACATTATGGGTATTTTTAGAATCGAGGTGACATGTAGGGATGGGACGATTCCAAAAATATCCATATTGTGGGGTATTTTACAGATTTTCCAAGTCTTTCTCTAACTATAAACCATCATCTTGGATTTCAAAATGATGTCAAAAATAGATTCCTGGTCACTACAGGTTACTCCGATTCCAAAAATACTCATATTCTGGGGTATTTGACAAAATTTACAAGTTTCTGAGACCAGAAGCCACCAACTTGGATTTCAAAATGGCGTCAGTTATCGATTTCCGGCTCCTACACGTCACCCTGATTCCAAAAATACCCATATTGTGAGGTATTTGACAGTATGTCCCCGTTTTTCTCTAGCCGGAAGCCGCCATCTTGGATTTTAAAATGGTGTCAAATATGGATTTCCGGTCCCTAAACGTCACTCAGATTCCAAATTGTGGGATATTTCACACTATTTCCAAGTTTCCCAAAATAACAAAAAAATACTCGTTATTGGAATTCATTTTGTATAAAAAACCTGATTATTTGGGATTTACTTCGTAAAACGAGGGACGTAAATTGAATCCTACTGTCTAAAAAAAAAAAATTCGTAAACGGAGGTCTCAGTGTATAAGAAAATGTCAATGACAAAGATGTCTGAATTTACATGACACACCTAAAGGCAGTCAAGTAGTATCAATATACCGTAAAACGGGGTATCTTTAATAATGCGGGTAACTTTGATAGTATAATGTAAAGATTAAATTTACTCGCTGCACTTATTCCAAATTAAAAACATTGGTTCCATATTGTAGCTATTTCCGTTGATATTGTATATAGTGTCTATATAGTATGTGTTACATATTTAATAAATATATTTAAAACAAATTTTGTGTTTATCGTCTTTTTGAAAAAGCACTCAAATCATCACTTATGAAATGTATTTCCGATATAGCCATCACAAATTCAATGTTGTATTCTTATTGCTTATGATGTTTTCTGATTATATACACATTAAAAGTTTCATATTTAAAGAACTAAATTGTTTGTGTTTCACCCATTTTTTTTTCTACATTCATCGAGCATTATCAAAGTAACCTCAAATAAAACAACTGGAGTTTGGTCACAAAACTAAAAAAAAAAGTGCAAATGCTTTAATTTCCGTTAAATATATTATTAACGAATTGATTCTTGAATCCTCAGTACTTGTTTTAAAAATATAAAATTTGAAAAACATTCATTGCTGTCAAGAATATACTTTAAAAAACTATCAATGTTACCCCGTTTTACGGTACTCCAGAATGGTCTTTGAACGATTTGTAGAACTGCTGGACGATGTTTGGATGCCATGTACAGAGGAAAAAATAATTTCCAGCTTCATAATGGAGTCAAAAATATGTTTTAATTGCAAAATATCCAGCTTTGGATCTGGTCAGCATTGAAAGTCGTCGGAGGATCCGGACAAGATGGGTATACAGTGGTAGACAATACTCGGAAAAAAATCCGTTCCCGAAAACGGGAACGGACCGTGAACTAAAAATCACGGCCAGCTATCCAGAACAAAATTTTCTCAAATATACACCGTGAACTATGGTTCACGGCTGTGGTTCACGAATATGGGAACTCTTTTTTTCCCGTGTAGATTGGAATAGTTGGTGAACTTTGGTATAACCGATAAAAGGCTGATTCTAACAATGATAAAAAATCACGTCGTTTCAAATACACTCAAGCCAATTTTTGGAGTTGATTTTGCAAGCTGTGATATCGAAGCTCGGAATATCAAGCTAACAAAACTCACCAACTGCAAATCTCACCAAACTGTGGTGAGATTGAGTTTAATGGTTTTTGCTTTACACCCTTCTTCTTCTTTCCTTTATTTAACGTCGGTCTCTGTTCCGCAATCTAGTGCCAATCTCCGACGGACATCGATTGCCATCCATTGACGGCAATCGAATGTGTAGGAAAGCAGCTTCCACACCTGCGTAGGATATCGCACCCATTCAACACACACATGGGCCGTCCAACGGCTTTACTTCCCTTCCGAAGGAAGACGTGACCAGAGCAGGGGTTGAAACAGTTGACGTTTTTTACTACACTCGCTTCGTTGTCGTGCGCGACAGTCTGTTTGTATTCGAACACTCATGCTCTACCGTCGTCTCTCTCACGCAACACGAGCGGTAGAATAACATTCGAGCTAAAAGAAAATTATCAAATTAGCTATCATATGACATGTGTGATTTCGTTGTAATTCCTCAATTTGGTGTAAATCAAACCATTTCTGATCAGAAATATTATTACTAGGCCATCATTGCTTGCTATTTTCAGAATTCACACAAGCACACCATCAGCAGCTCTTATTATGAGAAAAACTAAAATACATACATTCGTGACGGTCTTCGGCGACAGTGTCGTATGACAGAGCCTGTCATACGACATTTTAGTTTGGTACTGTACTATGATAGCTTGCTTTGCAAGTGTCGGAGGAAAAGGCAGTCAATTATCACAGAAAATGTGTCGACTACCGTGACCGCTTACAAGACTGGACCAGAGATTTTTATGCCTCAGAAAAATCCCACCGACCTCGGCTGGGATTGAACCCAGACCCATCGGGGTGTTAGAAAGCAGTCACGCTTACCACTACACCACCGGCGCCGGCAGCTGCTTTACACCCGAATGCCACCGAAACTTCCATAATGGCTTGCAGCAGTTCCTTTGCGTCTGCCATCGGTGAAGATTAAAAAGAGATAGCAAACTATGCTTTCTGTTTCTAAGAAAACAATGTGCAATGGAATCATTTTTGTGTCGAGTCAACTCTCAGCTTGATTTTTTCACGTTGTGAATAGTCTCGCCATATCAAAGGAGCTTGTAAAATCAATAACAAGCATGATATTTTGTTCCAATATCATGCGTGATATTGCGAGTGCATGAGAGCGGAATAATATCAATTGATTTCTGATTTTGCCAACACTGCGTGCTCTATTTACGAATGGCATTAAAATCTAATATTGTTAAAATATTGTTGCATGTGAAAAATCAAAAACTTGGTAGGTTTTTTCTTACATGGTACATATCCCCAGCGTAAAAAAGACCTGAGTGTACTAATTTTAATAGCCTTTTAATTAATACTGGTTCCTTACTATTCAACTTAGGCGCTTATAAGAATGTCTACCCATAAAAGGTGATTTAGTTATTATAAATAAAAATTTAGTAGTAAAGATAACTTATAGGTCAAGTGTTTACTGCAATCAATACTAATGCTTTGTGTTTGACATTTAAATTGAAAATAAGAGCGAAAAATAAACATGCACGTATAGGAATTTCTCGTACTGAAGATGAAGCGATCTCTTCTTTAGCAATCTAACCCCGGCTTATGGTGTTCTGGTGCTGCAGCCTTTTTTATTATTTCCCCTCATTTCTATGTGTCAGTGAACTGATTATCAATTATGCTCTAATGGTGTGAGTGTACATCAAGCATTACTGTAAACATAGCTGCTGGAAAATATGTAGAACATAAATAAAAAAGAATTTTTTTTTTTGGTTTAAATTTCAACGGTAATAACTTTTCAAAGATTATTTGTATCACCAAGGATTGAAACGATCACTTGATTTCTATTAAATTATTCAATTTGTCAAAACTAACGACCACCTAGGGGGTGGATAGTACAGAAAATAATCTTGTGTCAACTACCAAGTTAAACCAAGTCAAGTAATCGTAGTAGATGACATACGACCTGCCCAAAAATGATTCCAGAACTCAGACCTCAGGTTTGTTTTTGTGTTGGCATCATCCTTTTACCGCCTTTTTCATATCAGCTGATGGCTTCGGTCAGTTCAACCAGAAAGTAACATTGATGATTGATACACACACCGCCGTTATGCGGTGTTTAGAAAAAATATGCAAACCATTATGCTTCATCTTAGAAATGTATTCACGACTCGCATTTTCTACCATTGCATTCATACATTTTCTAATTATTAATAAATATTCTACTTTGAAAGTGGAATCACTTGAAATTGAATTCAGAAACACGCACCGTACTTTTTTTTTTAAAGGTTCCAAAAAAGCTAGTAAATGCTGTTTTTGAAAATTCATGCCCTGAGCAGTACAAAAAAAAACTAATTGACCTTGTTTGAATATTGATGACGTCCGCGGTGATGAATTCGTAATATTTTGGTGTCATAGTTTAAAATGTGTATCCAAATCTAGTCCATACAATTTCGACCCATATTATCAGGTATGTAATCAGTGATTTACTATTTTAGTTCGAATAAGTCTTTCGTACACGTACCATAACACGTGTATAATGAATGTAAGGATAGCGATTGTTGAATGACTTACCATTTCACCTTAAAAGCAAAAATAAAAACAATACCTACCAGAAAGATCAATACGAAACAATGGTACGTCGTTAAGTGCACTTGTGATGTTGAGTCGAAGTTTGCGGGTTCTCGAGTCATAGGCTTCAAGAAAAAAATGCTGCGGTAATCCTCCGTCGTATCCAGCTACACACTCAAGCTCCATCGTTGTAGGAACCTCTACGCTCTCCATATAATGGCTAAACGAATGTAGACCGATTCCGGAATTATAACCGGCAGCACCTGTATTCCTCGGACCCCCTCCTCCAGTGGCACCAGCAGCCGTTTCCATCGAATGGTACCGATTGTACCGAATATTATTGGATCTCAATTTCGCTGCAATCGGTGCCTCTCTGGCCGTGCTACGATAATTATTCCTTTCACTGTTGGCACTAGTGCCGGCATTCGAACTAATGCTACTACTACTGCTGCTGCTGCTACCAGGTTTGATAGTTCTAATGCTTTCCTCGTCCTGATTGCCAGTGGTGCTGCTATTGAAAATTTCATCATCATCATCGAAATGTGTTTTATTTATTTCATTTTCTAGATTTTCATTAAAACGTTTCTCTCTTTTCGCCAGTCTGTGATTAGCATCGGGCGTAGTTCTTGCAGCTTGCAACCGGTTTCCAGTGCCATCAGTCGAATAGGAGTTAGATTGGAAGCTCTCTTCTACTAGCGTTACGGTGTTAAACAAATTCATGCTACTAGTTCTTTCATTATTCGAAATTGTTTTTCTCCTATTCTCTTCGTCGTCGGTCGATGCCAACGAGGACGAATCTGATGACGAGAACGATCCCGTTGATGGCGAAAAACTAGACGAACCGGATGTTGCTGATCCTGCTACTTCACCCGATGCGGATGTTGCGAGTGCTGATGATATTTGGGCCACTTCCCGTAGCTCCCCTCTTTCGTCTCCTTCGTCGTCCTCGTCTGCTTCATCGGAGGTCAATCCAACTCTGTGACTAGCTGCACTAATTCTTCCATGACTACCACTCAGTCCCATAGTGCTCATCCTGTCGTATCCGTGGGTGGCATTTTTCTGTTTGATCTGTTCACGTCTTCTCGATACAGTGCCACCACCACCACTAACACCAGTACCATGAGACGTACTTTTCTGATTAAATTTTGTAATATTAGTTCGCTCGTTTGACACGTTTCGATCTTTAACGAATTGTGTGCTGATATAATTAGATTCTCGATAATGCTGACCTATGGTGGTGGCACCATTTGATGACGACGCCAACGAGGTTGCGGCGGCCGTTTCCATGTTGCTACTGCTTCCAGGCAAGCCGTAGTAAAACGACGTCGAAGACGAAGACGAAGATGCTGACGCTGCAGATGAATTAGACGTAGTACCGTGAGGCGCCAGCAGCGTCGAGTATGGCCGTAGGGTGCAGTTGCGCAACGGTGCCGGTTTTGCTGAGTTTTTCGGTTTCCAGTCAGTAGAAGTAGCAGAGGATAGAGAAGGAAACACAAGTAAAATATTTGGTATTATTCTGGGGACGGTGATAATTAGGTGAAAATTGGATTGGAAATGTGGCAGTAAGCAATTTTCTTTTTTTCTGTTTTGTGAAGTTCTTGCTTTCAGTGTGACATGTTATTAGAACTTGAATGAGAAATGCGACGTTATCACTTACCTGCGGGAACGACCTGAAACAGACACGGTTCGAGTTGCTTGCCAATCGAGTTTTTCCCCCAGCAAGCTAGAGTGCCATAGTCTCTCTCGCTTTTGGGGGTGTAGAGAAGCTCGTAAATGGTTTCTGAAACGAGATAATGGTTATATTAGGTGTTATGTAAGATACTGTGAAATGTATGACCAAATCTGTTTCAGATTATCAAGGGCCACTTGTTTTATGTCGAAAAATTGGATTATAGTAAGCGTCTTGAGTGGTCGCAGTGGAAAATGCACCCAACAGGAATTATTTCCAAAATAATCAAGCTAATATTTATCGTGAATCCGAACCACCTTACGCAAGATAACAAGACCATCAGATTAAGGGTCATTACCTACTCAGTAGTGCTGTTGATTTGAGCACCTAGCTCATTTTTTGCATTTGACTAATTCAAACAGATTTGTCTACTTAAGCTTATTCATCGATTTGGTGAGTAAAATAATGTTTATTTCCTTTGATTTGTTTTCCGTCGATCTTGTTTTCCGTGCTGAGCACCAAATGCTACCGACGCCAGGGAGGCAGCTCCCACACCTGGACCCTACCTATCAACCCATTAACTCATGAACCGGGGACCAACGGCTTTACTTCCCTTCTGAAGGAAGGCATCAGAGATGTTATACCCTCAGAACATCCCGGTGGCGTCGACTGGGATTGAACCCAGGCCTGCTGGGGTGAGAGGTAATCACGCTTACCACTACAGCACCGGCGCCGCTAACTCAGTTGTTTGAAAAGTTGATGAAATGCGCGGGGGAAAGTTTAAACGGAAAGCGTATCTACAATTTTTTGCGAGCCCCCTATGATTTGATATAAAATTTCAAATTCTAGCACACATGAACTTAAAATAGGTACTTGCAACAACCCTTTTTGTGTTTAAATTTCTTTCTTTCGGATTAGGCACTAGATCGCGACTAAATTAGCGTTTAAAGAAAGGTCAATTCTAGTTAGTGTATAGTAATATATGCAAGTTCAGTGGATTGATAAGAGAGCAAAAGTCCTATTCAAAATTCTCTTTTCTCGTTATCCGAAGGCTAATGATAAGAAAGGGTACATTTTTGGTATTGATCGAAAGTGAATATAATAGCAGCGCATGCCGGTTTCCATACAAAATGGTCAACTTGGACAAGTTGTAACTTTGTTTTCTTAAGATCAACTGAGATGAAATGTTCACCACAGTAGTTACAAATATGTTCAATTTTACGATTACAAAATACCAATTTTTGAAAGCACCTGCCGGAAAGTGAGACACAAGTTAAAATTGTTCAAAATAATAGCAGTACTAATAATTTGCATTTCAGCTCAATTTTGAGATTTAAAATTTTACATTTCTCAAAATTCTAACAATCCTCACCCAATTAACAAATGTACATAATAATTAAAAATGTTTAAAATATTTGCAGTACATAAAAATTCAAATAAAAAACTGCTATTATTTTGAACAATTTTACCTAATGTCTTTCTTTCCAAAAGATGCTTCTAAAAATTTGGTATTTTGTAATCGTAATCGTAAATTGAACATATTTGTAGTTCTGTGGCGAACGTTTCAGCTCAACAAAGTTACATCATGTTTGTATGGAGTTGTTACATCATAACAAAGTTACATCATGTTTGTATGCAGTTGACCATTTTGTATGGAAATCGGCATGCGCTGCTATCATATTGAACACAACTGTAGGTCTTATATACTAAAGAGAATTCATTGCTAGGGTTTGCGTTAACAAATATTTCGTACACAAAATTCATGATTAGTAATCAATTCTGGTGTATGGTATCCCTCAATTTATTGTGCACACATTACAATCCATCTTGAGCAGTTGATTGTAATCATTGACATAATTACCCTGAAGATTATTTTCACATTTAGGAAAATCAATTTCCAAATTTGGTTTTATCACAGCTCATAATTTGGACTTACAAGAAATATTCTTCTGGTTTCCTATGCCAGTTTACTTAAAAGAAACAAGATGGCTTTCTAGTGCATTGAAAAAAAAATACTTACACGCTACAAAAAAAAAAAGTCATGTAAATTACGGTTCACTGAGACCGACACATGTAAGCGGCCCTTTTGACATAAGAATTAGTTTAAAGAAACGAGAAATCTATTCAATCAAACGCTCTCTTCATCGAGTTGCTTATGTTTTAGTTTACGTTCCATGATTTAAGTCCAAAACGCACGTCTAATATAAAAGTAGATTTCTAAGTGTGTAGTTAAAACATTCACTGGACGAAAACATTACAGAAAACAGTTCAATGCAGATCACGACTCTCATATACGTAATAAAATGAGATATCGCCTAAAGTGCGGAAATTAGTAAATCATAGACCCAAGACATCAAGGTAGCATTTCTCAATAATATGAAATGCACATCTTTAAGCAAAAAACTTCTCCCTAGGACGCTCTATTTAAATTGAGTGCATTCTTGGTGGTTGGACCAAGAATGAAACAGAAACCTTAAAACCCGGTACTTTCTACACAGCAAAAAAAAATATTTTGATAGGGGAAATGGATGTAATGTCGGCCTAAATGCCCTAATTTGGGCCCATACATAAATTCAGCAATCGACTAAATTTTCCATATCGACCAAAAATATCCATAAGTACTGTCCTAATGATGCGTTCATCTAGATAAAATTGATAAATAGCAGATTATTTGCGATGGGCCCAATCTTAGATCCATAGGCCAACATTAGAGCTATTTCCCCTATCACATCAAAGTAGGTGCACTTCACTCGTGTCAACAATATGGTGCAATATTACTTGCTAAACAGGACAAAATCAGCGACACCGGTGGTGTAGTGGTAAGCGTGATTACCTCTCACCCCACTCACAGGGTTCAATCCCAGTTGACGTCGCCGGGATGTTCTGAGGCATAACATCTCTGATCACGCTTTCCTTCGGGAAGTAAAGCCGTTGGTCCCCGGTTCATGAGTTAATGGGTCGATAGATAGGGTCCAGGTGTGGGAGCTGTATTGATATAGGTTTATCAATAAAGACTGCATGGGGTAAGTTAATATGTAACAACTGAATAGTACGACAACATGTGCAACCTACTCTTCAATTGGTTGAATTTCAAACATAACAAATAAAAGCATTGTGATTTGTTAATTGATTGCAAAGATTACATCCCACTGGAATTTGCATACTGCATCCCATCAATGCCAATTCAACTCAACACGATAAATCTCGATATGACATTTTTCCAAACACTTACCTAGGTTCTCTTCTGACCCGCTGAAGACCGATGGCATCTCACCGAGCTCGTCGCTGTCCGAAGTTGACGAGTGAAAATCCTGCAGCAGATTAAATTGACCACTGGTTACCTCGAAGCGTTCGCCACTATTGGAGAAGTTCCAGTCGAATGAAACGTCCCGTGGATTGGATACAACATGGCATGGAACCGGAACCGTTTCGTCCAGTGATGCACCAACGATCATGATACTGCTGGAGGCGCAAACCGGTGCAACTGCGGAAAAACAGCATAGGAGGAAAAACAAACATACATAAGCAATATACTAAATATTCATCCCACAGAACGGAACGCTAGCCACAGAATATACTTCAAGCCCCAGCCAGGCCCGTCTGGCTGAGAGGTTCCGCGTACCGTACCGGAAAGGAAGAATTTTTAATTTATTCATTTTTATTCATTCGGGCAACGTTTTACGCTCTCATTGCATCCGTGTCACTGGTTTTGCTTTTATAAGCTGCTACACAGAAGTAGTGCCAGAGCTGTTCGCGAACTTCAGGGCATACATATCCCACCCAGTGCCGTTTCGTATAGATTGGGAGGAGACTACAGTGAAAAGGCTCCTGGCTAACAGAGGATAAAGTGAATTTTATTATTATGCATAGCGCTCTTGAGACTGTTGTGCTTTTGTGTTTATGTTTGAAATTCACGTCCTCGAGCTGTATAGTTGTGGTTTGATATTGAGAATTTCTTGTGAAAAGACAAACAGCTCTAAACGGCGCAAAACTTTCCTGTCGTGTCATCTTTTGTCTCGGGGAAAATTTGTCGAAAACGAGTAATAACTGTTTTATCTTATAATCACCTCGCCTCAAAATAGCTCAGTTTCGTAGAATGAAACTAATTAATAATCCTCTGTTATTATGATTCTGGGAGCGTTGGACGTCAACCTTTGTGGATCTCATGTTTCAACATGTTGCTAGTTGACAACTTGGTATTACATCCATCGGTGCGGGAGCCTCCCATTAACCTATCCAGTAGAGGCTTAGATATCTAGCATTTGTTACTGGATTTTCCGGGTAAAATTAATGCACACTGGGAATAAAATCGTAACAATGTATTACAATTTTTAGCTCATCTTCTTCTTCTTATTCGCATTTCAAGCTTACTACGTAGCGCATATTATGTTATTGCGTGCTCTCAACTTAGTGTTCTACATGCACTTTCACAGTTATTAATTGAGAGCTTTCGATTCCAATACCAATGCATGAATTTGTATATTGTGTGGCAAGCACAATCATACTCTATGCCCAGGGCAGTTGAGAAAATTTCCAACCCAAAAGATTTCTTCGACCGGATCGAGAATCGAACCCGCCATCTCCGGCTAATACCGTGCCGTTACTGACTAGGCTATGATGCCCCTTAAGCTCGTGTGGTCACGGAAGAAAGTGTATCAAATAAATCCGATTTTTCAAGAAAAAACTTAAGGAATCTGTTGGCATTGGTTATATCTTATGCAGTATACTGTTAAGGCTTGTACTCGAAAAAAATGCACCATTTTTATCCATGTGTAACTTTTTTATCCGTGGTTGTTGAAAATCTAGGTACAACTAGTTTGGAGTGAATTGTTTACATGTGCAAAATTTCATAACAATCGGTTCAGTGGTTATTGAGATGTCATCGAAACAAGGTGAACATCGCCAAAGAATTTTGCGCGCCGTCATGGAAAATCCGACTGCGACCATGAGATGGATCGGAAGACAACTGGAAATCACCCATACAACTGTGTCTCGGGTGGTAAAATCGTTTAAGGAGTCCCAGACGACCGAGCGGCGGGCTGGAAGTGGAAGAAAATCGAAGACAGCTGACCCTGTGAAGGCCCGGAAGGTGTTGGATTATTTCAAGCGTAATCCGAACCTTTCGATTCGCGACGCGGCTCTGATGGCAAAGTCTTCTTTCCTTTATTTAACGTCGGTCTCTGTTCCGCAATCTAGTGCCAATCACCGACGGACATCGATTGCCATCCATTGACGACAATCGAATGTGCAGGAAGGCAGCTTCCACACCTGCGTAGGATATCGCACCCATTCACAACACACATGGGCCGGGACCAACGGCTTTACTTCCCTTCCGAAGGAAGACGTGACCAGAGATTTTTATGCCTCAGAAAAATCCCACCGACCTCGGCTGGGATCTCTGAGGGCAAAGTGTTCCGCCTGGTTCGTTCAGCAAACCATGAAACGAGCTGGGCTTCGTGTATTCAAGGTCCGGAAGGCACCGAACCGGCGTGATCAACAAAACATGGCCGCCAAATCCCACGCAAGGAAGCTGTATCGAGAGTGGTTAACGAAACCGATGTGTGTGGTTATGGATGACGAAACCTACATCAAGGCAGACGCAAAGCAGATACCGGGGCTGGAGTTCTACGTTGCCAAATCACGGTTTGATGTTCCGGAAGACATAAGGAAGAAGAAAGTGGACAAATTCGCCAAAAAATACTTGCTCTGGCAGGCCATATGCCAATGCGGTAAACTAAGTAAACCGTACATCACAATGCGTACCATCAACAGCGAAATTTACCGCACCGAGTGCCTCCAGAAGCGTCTGTTGCCCTTCCTGTGGTCCCACGGAGGCGAGACATTATTTTGACCGGACCTGGCATCATGCCATTACGCGCGATCGACGTTGGATTGGTACAGAGACAATAACGTTGTTTTTGTACCAAAAACCGCCAACCCCCCAAATTCACCAGAGATTCGTCCGGTGGAAAGATTTTGGGCCATAATGAAGGCCAAAGTTCGAAAATCGTCCAAGGTGTTTAAGAACGAGCTGGAGTTGAAGAAAGAATGGATGAAAGTGACCAAAAAGATCGGCTCCACCATTGCACAAAATGAAATGAGGGGTCTTAAGGGAAAGGTGCGGGCTTTCAGCGATGGAAAGGAAATTGAACTAAGTAATTATGCCGAAACATAATCCATATGTATTAGTTCATTCCCTGAAAGTTTCAATAAAATCCGACTTAAAATAATTTTTTGGCGAACACTTTTGTCTGGTGCATTTTTTTTTGTTCGAGTATAGGCCTTAATTGGAGTAAAGGTAATTTTTTCGCAGTTTGAAAAAGTATCTCTTATAATATATAATTGCAGTGTAAAAACTACACCTATCCATTCCTGAGATTGTAATTCCCATAGAATAACAGATCATTAAAAATATAAACATGTTGAGAATACGACAATCAGGGGAACATAGACAGCACCTCCACGCAGTAGACTTTTAACTTTCAATAATTTATTTAAAAAATTTCTTTTTCATCTTCAAGATAGGTTTTTTTGTATAGTCACTTTAACGCTCTAAGGTCATTCGTGACTTGTCCGGGGCTGAGATTTGAACTCGTGACTTTGATGTGAAAGACATGGATGCTAACCACTACGCCGGGGACGCCCTCATCAAGATGGATGTTTAAGGGATACTTTGGAGTAATAAGAACGCTAAAAATGCGGATGGGTTTCGCATTTGAAATGATTTTCAATAAGAGAGCTACAAAATTGGATCATTACGGTATTTTCCATTGTTTGCAAAACTTTGATGTGATCAAAACATATTTTCTTAAAAACAAATATAAGGATCAGTTTTTCATCACAATTACGAGTATATTGAGAGTTATACAAAAAAAGAGGGTGTTGTAAACAACATGCTCAAACAACCAATCTGATTTTTTTCACGAAACTAGATATTTACCAAAGAAGTATCTATCTTTTCGATTTCAAAGGAAGATAAAAAAAAAACAACTTCACGGCATTTTTTAAACGTTTACACTTTGGTAAGTATTTACGGTCAATACAAATTTAAACAAAAAAAATACGTGTCTACGCACGAGGAGGGCGTTCTGAAACTGTCTAGATCGCAAGTTTGTCCCATTTGCGTTGTGGTCAAAATCGAGATTTTCAATTTTTTTTTTTTTAATAATGCTGAATAAACTCAACATATGTGAACAGAAAAAGTTTGTAAAAATAAGAGAGAGCACTAAGACATCATTGAAGAGACAAATAGACAATTGAGTGGATTGACAACGGGAGTCTAGGAGGTAATGTGTACTGTCATTTTAGATATTTGCATTTCATTCCACAAGTTGCAATGCATTTTACGCGCTCTTATCAAACAATCTGTCCATGGAACATGTACTTCAAATTTGTATATGTATTATATATTTGGATCGTATTTTTAGAAGATTCTTGTTTCACGTTAGTGTCTCTGCAACATTTAGCAATACGTTGAATTCAGAACGATTACAGAATTTAATCTGTCTGATAAGTGAAGGAAAATACAGGGCAATACTCAAACTAGGATGGTGGCGACCTATTTACATAGATTCAATTCGAGTGGCCCCCTTCCCCACCTCTCGGGGGGTTTAGCTTTATACGTTTGACACATCAATAAGAATGATCAATGCTTACCCAGTACCTATGCTAAAATTACGTAAATAATAGCTTCTTACTCGATTCAAAAACAACCGTTCTTACTGGCCATATTTCGTTCAATATCCCCAAACTGACGCCAACCTCTAGGGTATAAAGCCCATCTTGGCTATCACAGTGCAGACGTATCAATTAATCGCATCGGGTTATTAATTTTCTCCTAGTAGCAACTGGCCAACTCGGCGGAAGCCTCAACAGTGAGTCCTATTGTGCTATTTTCCCATTCTAGACCCAATGGAAGCCTAGTGGCGGTTGTAATCGACTCTGAAGTACGCCTGTTAAACATTAATAATTATTTCGTTATTAAGTTTTATTGCACACTCTCTACTGTGGTAACACAACACAAAATAACCAGCTTGTTAATGTCGATGTTTGCACTCAATAGGCACCAAAAAACTTCCCTGGGAAGAGGAATTGGAAATGGCGAGCTATTCGAGACTGAAATATTCATCCCACTCACTCTTGGTGAGCTGCACGACTCGTTGGCTTCGTTGCGTTACTGTTCGCCATAGCAATAAAACGGAATCACGCGCGGAAAGTTTTCCTCCACTTCCAATTTTCCGTCTCGCAATGCCACCCACAATCATAAAGAGCTGCTAGACTGTCCAATGAGCAGACCAGTCAAAGGTAAAATCGATCTCACGCACTGTAGCCATGTTCTACGCAAAAAGTGGCGACGAATGATAAAACTGCTCATTTTCCAAATGAAAAATCATCATCATCATAATCATCATTGTGCTGTTTTTTCATATGGACGGTTCATTTTGATGACCACGCTCGCTGACAGAGCATCATCCCATCCGTCCA